TAGCAATAGTAGTAGTAGTAGTAGTAGTAGTAGTAGTAGTAGTAGTAGTAGTAGTAGTAGTAGTAGTAGTAGTAGTGGTAGTAGTAGTGGTAGTAGTAGTAGTAGTAGTAGTCGTGGTAGTAGTAATGTTCGTAGTAGTAGTGGTAGTAGCAGTAACAGTAGTAGTAACAGTACTAAGAATGCTAGTAGTGGTAGTGCTGGCAGTAACAATAATACGACAAGGAGCAACATCACCTCTGGGCGAACTTCAAACTTTATTTCGGGGCTCTTTTGCACACGATCAGCAATCGTCGGCGGCAGTAAGGGACATGGCATTCCTAAACTTCACCTATGGTCGGGTCTTCTTGTAGGGGTCGGTCGGATCAGCGCTCTAGCCGCTAGCCGCGGAATTCATCATCTTGCCCTGCAGGAGCCCGTTCGGAGTCCTGTAGGGACTCTTGGAGTTCAGGGTGCGTCTGGGCAAATCCAAAGGAATTCAGCAGACAGGGGAGGAAGGTCTTTCCCTTTTTCTGGATATCTGTTGTTCAAGATTCCTAAAGGCTTATCACGTGCTCGCGAGGAAGTTTCGAGCGGGGACCCGCTCCCCATGGGCCGCCCCGCTCCTGCTACCAATCCGAACGGGTCGTCGGTCGCTCTGGCAGGCGCGGCGCCCGGGCGCCCGGCGGGGGCAATTCGCGGGGGGGCTTCGAGCTTGAACTTCGTTGGTGGGTGCCGTGCGAAAAAGTCCCGCGCGGGGGCCCGCTCCCCATGGAATCCTCGCCCCATATCCGTAATGCGAGTGCGTCGGCGGCCCGCCGCAGCAGGCGCGGTGCTTGTGCGCCCCGGGGGGGGGGGGGGGGGCGGCGCGCGAAGGAGCGCAGAGCGGGGGCGTCGTTTGTGAGTGCATCGCTGGGAAATCTTCGCGTCGGCAGCCCGCGCGGGCCGTCGGCCCCCTGCGGCGGGCGTGGCACTCGCGCGCCCAGTGGGGGCAACTCGCGGGGAAGTCTGAAGCGAAAGCTGCGTTTGTGGGTAAATCGCGAGGGGATCTGAGCGGTGGCGCGCGCCCTCTGGAGTCTCCGTCCCACGCCTGTAATCCGAAAGCTCATCGGCCTGCTCCAGCAGACGTGGCACCCGAGCGCCCCTCCGGCAAACCTCGAGGATGTCTCGAGCGGGGCGTCGTCAGTAAGTTTTTTTTTTGTGCCCTTTAGGAGTTCTCTGGTGGCTCGCGGTTCTCTGGGCCGCGGGCGATGAGCGATCCACGCGCTTCCCGCGGCAGTTGGCCTATGCCAGAAGCCAAGCGGCGGAGGAGGCCACGAGAAGGCGCGAGGCGGCGGCTATCATATTAAAGGAATGCTGCGGCGACACCTGTGGATCACCCTGCAGGGTCAACCCGAAACTTAGATGAAGAAAGGGCCGAAAGAAAGTGGAGAGGCGTCGTCTGTAAGTGGCTGGCCAGAAATTCTCGAGCAGGGGCCGTCACCTTCTGAGGTCACCGTTTCAGGTGGGAAATCCAAACGGATCGCGGCCTACTGTAGCAGGCGTGGCACTTGACTGGGCAGATGGGCAAATGTCGGGAATGCCCCGAGCAAGAGCTCCTCCGCGCGGGGCCCCCGCTTCACGTTCTTGAACCTCGGCGGGCCATCGGCGCGTTCATAGGGGGCAAGCAGTGGGGCAATGTCTCCTCGCATCCTCAAATGGGATTCTCGTGGCTACCGTGTCGATTCCATCTCCTCCTCCCTCCGCCTCCCCATTCTCGTCGGCCTCGCTCGTGGTCGGACTCATTCCTATTCGGACTCGCCGTTCCTCGCCAGTCAGAGTCGCCAGTGCTTATAATCAGAATCGCTCGTGCTCAGACTCGCTCACGGTCAAAGTCACCAATCGCTCGGCCGCGTTGCAGATTCACTCATATTGGGGCCCCGGCCTGAAAAGAGCGCCCATATCTTCGCGCTCACTTGCGCTCGGACTCGCCCGCGCGCGCTCGAATTCACGCGCCCGCGCCCGCGCTCGCCGCGCGCGCATTCTTTCTTTCTTTCTTTATGCCTCTGTCACCCTCTCTCTCTCTCTCTCTCTCTCTCTCTCTCCCTCTCTCTCTCTCTCTCTCTCTTCCTCTTCCCATTTCTCTTCCTCTTTCTTTTTCCCCACATCCTGAGTGGGGTTCTTGTTTTCCCAGAACACCCTCTCCTTCTCCTCCTCCTCCCGCGTCCTTCTCCTAAACCATACCATACCAAGCCATACCATACCAATACCTTACTATACCAATACCATACCAAGCCATACCAAGCCATACCATATCAATACCATACCATACCATACCAATACCATACCATACCATACCATACCAAACCAATAACATCCCAAGCCATACCAAGCCATACCATACCAATACCATACCATACCAATACCCCTCCCACCCCTCCCACCCCTCCAGGGAGGCCCCGCCTGAGCGAGGAGGGTATTCGCATCACCTGTTATTTCTCAGGTTTCGTGCCCCTCCCACCCCTCCAGGGAGGCCCCGCCTGAGCGAGGAGGGTATTCGCACCTGTTATTTCTCAGGTTTCGTGCCCCTCCCACCCCTCCAGGGAGGCCCCGCCTGAGCGAGGAGGGTATTCGCATCACCTGTTATTTATCAGGTTTCGTGCCCCTCCCA